TATATATATATATATATGATGGTTTTTCTAAAGACCGATATCCTCAGGCCTGAATACAATCTCAGAAGTATACTCTAAAATTTGGTCAGAGTTCTTACGTTACGCTAAATTGATCGTAGTTTCGAGGTTACGTAACTAAGTACTCTATCAATTACGCACAGGCGAGTTAAAATTGCTATCACTCTAGCGTGAGAGTGCACACCTACGCGCTAGGGAAAGTCGTTCGGACGTATCCGACGGTATATATACCGCAAAAAGACGTCTCTGAAATATTAAATTACGTGCTCCAGATTCGCTTGCGATCCATTTACCATGCCCATGTGAATGTGTGTTAATCGATTAATAACCCTTTCTCGATGATCAAGTTTAATTTTAGCTTTCAGTTCCGCTGGCAAGTCTGAGGAAAGTGTTGAGTTTAACGCGCGTGATATCGAAATTATTTCAGAGATCACTCGTTACGGGCCAGTCAGGATGCTCTCGCGGAGGACACATTCGATGCGGAAACGCAAGAGTGCCGGTAACTATCACATCGACCAGCCGAAGGAGAATGCCGTCGAGAGAAGTATCGACCAAAACCAGGTACGAGGGGATGATTTCTGGAGGATTCGCGCGATTTCCCGCAGTCGCCGGAGAGAATACCCAAGGTACGTGAGACTGAAACTTTATCGCGACCTGTAGCAGCGTTGGCGACGTAACCGGGCGTCGTCAATAGACGAGAAAGTTAATCACGGCAAGTGCGATGGAGTTATCCGCGCCAGTATAAAATTCAGCGGAAAATCTCTCTCGTGCTTCGCACAAAATACTGTGAGGAAAGACGAAGCGCGACGATTTGTATTTTTTTTCCCTCTCTTTAGTCTCTTTAAAGGAAAGCATCAACTTGTAGTTTACGTCGCGATAAAGAACCAAATCACGCGCAGTAAATCAGCGCGATTTCATTTGGGGCGAGAATTTTCCGCTCGGGAACACTTTGACGAGAGTAACGAGAAAGAGAGAGAGAGAGAGAGAGGGGAGGAGCAAAAGAGAGAGACTTTCATTTGCCCAGAGCTGAAGTGGCGAATGAATAACGAAAACATCCTTTTTTTTCCGAGCGTTATCATTCGTAGAATATCCGGGATGCAACGCAATTATCTAAATGATGTCGTAAAGACGCGTATAAAACTTTTGAGATCTTTTAGATGTTTTTTTCTGTACTTTTTTTCTGTATTATCACTCGGGGCGGAACACATATTTTCGCGCGAATGGATTAAAGCGAGGCGCGTAGGCGACGCGTGCAGTCCCATTGTTATGTTATTAACCTTCGACATTTGTAGAGCTTCTAAAAGCAACATTTGTACAAACAAATGTATCACAAAATGATTACATTATCCGTCGTACCGTTTGTAAAATCTCGAGCGTATACAACACGATTATTTGTTATATGTCATCCGCTTTACGCGAAAGATATGACATTCAAATTATTATGGAGAATTTATAATAGCTTTGTAAATTTTAATTTGCGCGATTGCAAAGTGTATATGTGTGTGTGAGAAAGTGTGCGAAAGAGAGAGAGAGAGAGAGAGAAGGAGAAAGAGAGAGAGAAATCGTGTGAGACCACACGTGTAATAATGAAAAAGGTTTCTATATAATTCAGACACGTTATCAAAATAAGTAGATTAAAGAAGAATCGATGGAAGTTCACTTCACGATGACGTCTTTGGTCATCGAAGTCGAGGAGCGCGCTTCTATTCAATTCTCTCGGATTTCTTTATCTCAACCCCTTTTCTATCCGTTTGTTTCCATTCGACCGTCGGGAACACTCAAGAAACGAAATTTCCTCTCGGAATCAAGATATGTCGAGGTCAATCTTTCCCGTTCTCCGCGTTTGAACGTTTCAAAAATTCGACATACGCGTTTTTCCTCGAGTAACAAAGTTTCCCTCGATTAGCTCTTTATAATTCATCTACGTTTTCACGACACTTAGACTGCAATTAGTAATTTATCGTATCTGTGCGGTGCAGGATTGAGTTGTGCTTTATGCTTTTAAACCAAACGGTGCGAGGAGCCCGTTATGCCGTTTTTCGAGCGCGTTTCAGCGCCACGATGTTCTTCGCGGTTGAGTAGAGACGCAAATGGGGGGAGTAACGATGGTCCATTGACTACAGTACACTGGCGCGTACGTATACACACGTACCTACGTACCGTATGTGCAATCACTTTGATTACAAAGCAGAACTCTGGAAATCAAAGCCCAATTGGATTCCACCCGTTTCATTATCAAATATAACTTAACCCGATCTGTACCTGGCTTTGGTGAAGTCCAACCCAGTTCTTGATCAGTTTCCATCAATGTCAGTTTCTGTCAAGACCAGTCTCTGCAAAACCAATTTCTGATACCAATACCAATTTTTGTCAGGATCAGTTTCTGACAAGATCAGTTAACGTCAATACCAATTCCTGTTAAGACCATTTTCTAACAGGACCAGTTCGTTGTCGACAAAATGACGCGGGCTCGGCTCGGGTTTGGCTTTACCAAAGAGGATACAGATGCTATCAGGTTGTATTTGATAATAAATCTAGCCGGATCGGATACTACTGTGTTTTGATTCGTTGACCAGATCTATTACAAAACTCTCAAGTGTGCGTCTTTCAAAATCGAAATCACGGCTCGTCGAACATCAGAACATAGAGCGCTATTTAGTGCTTCGCGTTCGTGTGTTGCAAAATCATGAATCGGAATTACGCGTCGCCGACTAGGTCGTTCTCCCATTTAGATAAGAAACCTTTTAAGTCTTTACGAGGTTTCGAACCACAAGGTCTCGTCGTCGTTGTCGTCCTACCTTTCCCTTGGGGAGTTTTATTTCTCCCCGGTGTGCGTAACGGCGCGAAGATTACCATCTTCTTGGGGAAAAGCCCTGGCAGCGGTCCCATAACGCACGATATTGGACATTAGCCGGGAATGCATTGTATCAACGGTGTACCAAATGCGTCCCGAAGAGGATATATACTGGTAATAAAAATCCGTCCTCGGGAGAGAGTGTAAAATCGATCCGTTCGTATATATAAAACGTATTTCTTAACTTCGCCGCTTCTCGATAATGTGCGCGACGTCGTCTCTTCTTCTCCGTATTTTTATTTTAATCCATTCGATCTCGACCGCTTATTCGTCCCGTGCTCATGCGTGCAAGTAAACACACATGTAAAAATTTCGCCTTAAAAGTCAATTTAGTTTCGATCTTTACCGCACCGGGAAGAATGTTTGTCATTTTTTGTGTTCTACATATGTTTACTGGGACTTTGTGATGCTCGGTTTAGGCTTGTTTTTCTCATTTTCTGATTAACTTTATTTCGGCTTATATGCGTGTAACTCGATGATAATGTAACAATCGTTTTTTTATTCATTTAATTTAATTTAAACGTTTAATCTTTAAGCCTTAAAAGTTACCACTATCAAACCATCAGTTTAATAATTAATAGTTTAATAATAAATAGAAAAAAAAATACGATATTTGCACTATCATCAATTTAAATCTAAATCACAAGTTGACCAGAAAATGAAAAATCAAGCCTCGCGTCGTAATTAGGACAATGTAAAAGAGAGCGTGCGTTTCGAATGAAGTTCGCGGTATCTTGCAGTTTCCGCATGACTTTCCCAGGACTTTTCTCTGAGAAGATGGAAGGCCGAGGGGGGCTACGTGAATTCAGACGGTGATGTAGTAAGCCCGTGGCTTGCCCCTCGACGTGGTCGGACTGAAGATTATTCCTGGTGTCGCCGGACTAAATGACCAGGACGCCCATGAGGGCGGCGGGAGCATACGTCAGGACGTGTAGTATCCTTCATGCGGCTTGCAACATTTTTCACGGGCGATGTAGCAGAGAGCTATGGTGATCAGGAGCGCTATGGTGATCCCCATGCCTATGCTAATCCAGATGATCTCCTCGTTTATACCACTGTAGCCCTTTCCTGAAAGCACGCTGGTTTTATCGAGCAATCACGCGTTTCGCACAAACTTATCACATTTGCGAACGTGACGCTCCTCCTTAACAAGTAGGAGATATTTGAGCGACACGTTGCGAAATTTTCGTTAGCAAATCTGGTAGATTTGTAATTATAATTACTGGAGGCTACTTATGGTAATTGAATGTTTACGAGTTTTTGCAAACCATCGCCCCGATTCGCGATAGAATTTCAGGCAGGATTCTATTTCGTAATTTTACACATTTTATAATATACATTTATATATTTGTCGTTATATGTTTAAATATGATTCCGCCTCTCTCACGGATGATACTCCACGTTGAATTCAATCGCGAATCATGGATCGTGCCAAGCGGGCTTTGCGTAAAAATCAGTGATAAATTTTTTTTACCAGCGGCGTAGGGCTATCTCAACGGCGGAAACTTAAGACGGGCTTGGAAGCGTGACTCGGTAAAGCCACCTTACCCCCGGAGTTCATAAATCGCACCCCAATTTCATAGTCATGAAACCCCACTCGACCGAGGTTCCGATGTTTAAGACCGCCTTACCGTGCTTGCGTCATCTGTATAAGACGTCATTATGCAGCCTTGTTTTCCGCTTGTCATGGTAAATAAATCCGCCTTATTCTCAGATGAACTCGGGGCATCCAGCACAAGCTGAATCTAAAATGTCCCCACATCCGAGCCCGTCTTAAGTCCTCCGTCTTTACTTCGAACGCCTCTCGTAGAACCGTGTTCCCCCCATTTTACACTCACCGTCAAGTAAACGTTGCACTCGTTCGGACTATACTCTCGAAATTCCCTGGGGCGAAATCTCGCTCGAGTGAAAATCCATTCGATGAAAATACCGTCACTGAGTGAATAAATAACTCGAATTTAAAGTGAATTCTTAATCCGTACGAACAAATGTTTCAGTTGATGAATTGTTCCAGTGACGGTGGAGTACACAGACGAGCATAACGCATGAAGTGCATGATGTTTCGAAACTTTCCATAAGAAATTACCATACCTCGGCTTAACTTATGAAGTTATACGACATGTAACGCCGGCGCATAATGCATTTCTTATGGGGAGTTCTGGAATGGTATAACTGTGTATCAAGGCTATTATGCCAGCCTGTGTATTTCTCGTGCGGGAAGTTCGAGAATGGTGTAACTATGCGCGAAAACTATTACGCTGGTCCGTGCACATCAGATTCACTCTTCAACTCCGAGGGAAATATTCACTCCGACAATTCAGAGGACATAATTTGCTCTGCGCTAGTGAAAAATCATTCGGATTCCAGCTCGGCTCGGCCGTTGCTCTACTCTTCGAGTGGAACTTCACTCGCGAAAAAATTTGGAGAGTAATATTCATAATCTAACCGTGCCTGTGTGCGTGACAATTTCACGACAGTGCAGTTTGCGCCCGTTCGTATTCGCGGACTCAGCATCCGAAAGTGATTCACGTCGTCGTAATCGTCTAATTCTCCGCGTTCTGGAAGGCCGTACGATAAGTCGTTTAGACGCGAAGTTTCTCGCAGTTTGGAGAAAATCCAATTTTAAGTGGGTACCCGAGTGCCGAGAACACGGTGTCTGGAGGATCTCGTTTGTAAATTATAAGAGGCCGCCCGCGCGGCGTTACGCTGGCAGTCGGCCCAGGGTCAACATTTTTGTTTCAAATTCCCGCCGCATCCGGTAAACTTTTTGCCCGATTCCGGTCTCTCGCCGATTTCGCACGCGTCGCTGCCAAGTGTGCGATCCACGTCCACAGAGATTCGCGATCGAGCGACGTTGTATTCCGCGCGATTCTGCCGTGACGTTAGTGGCGTCATAAAACGCGTTAGCACTGTGTATGCGGAAGTTTATGGAATATACGCTCTCCCGGCAGCTGCCAACTCGATTTGCATACGAGTCCCGCGTGTCTTCGGCAAGAATAAATACGAAGCGTTTGCGCGAAATCTGCCGGAGACGTGGCGACTTTACGCGCGACTCTTTCTCGTGCGCGCACATGTGTCGTATCGCAGAGAAATCGTGTAATCTCAACAAATCGACAGACGATACAATCGGAAAGATTTCTCGAGAGAAAAAAGAACACAAGGAGAAAGAGAAAAATCGCCTCAAACGATGACTAATCGTCATTTCGCGTGGAAGCACCTCGGCGCGCTTCCGGATGAGAGGTTGATCGGATCAGTTTAGCCATACAGTATGAAATTTGTGTAAATAACGCTTCACTGAAACTTTTACGTTACTTTAGCGAGGCTTCGTTAAAGTAACGCAAACATTTCAGTGAACCGTTATTTACACAACATTTTTTACTGTGCATGTACTTTTTTTATGTATTTATTACGAAAGAAACAGTGGAAAAGAAGTCGCCCGATATGTTCCTTTTAGAATATGAATACCTTGGATTATTTGAAAAGGAACATTTCCTCTCGCAATAAATACACAAACGGGACATACAGTCAATTTGATCCGGTTTCCTCTATTATGCATACAATCAATACTGATCCGTGAATATTCCGTCGTATAAAACTTCTATAACAGATCGAACTTACTTTGCAACCGGCAGGTCAAGTCGAGAGATCGTAAATAAGTATACAACGCGCGCGCGTACACGGACTTTTGCTACGGGTAAACAAAATCTCCCGGCTATACGTCACGACAGAATTACGACAGAATTACGATAGAATTATGATAGAATTATGATAGAATTACAACATCGAATGCCAGCGATACGCCGCTGCCGCTGTTCGCCATAGTCGTGCCGCGGCAATTTTCTTCGTCGACGCGCAAGTCGAGCTCGCGCGCTGACGTGCGAATCGCTTCGACGAGTCGCGAATCGTCGAAAACTGCCACGGCCGCCCGCTCGTAGCCTCGTATATACCTAATAGAATGATATCCACGTCCACATTACCATTGTAATGGGAGCTGTAGATCCCGACTTTGCCCGCCACTCGTCCGCCGACCGGCATGTTTATACCTTTTCTTCTCGGTTTGTCACCTGGAAAAGGAAACACGCCTCTTTACGGCACCGACAACGGCTTTAACGCTACAAGGTACAAAACGGGAGCAACGTGCTGCCCCGTCCTTCCTTCCTTCCTTCCTTCCCGTTATTCCCCTCATCTATTTTCTACCTTCAGTTCCGCTTCTTTTATATTCTTTCTCTCATCCGGTTTTTCCCTCTTTCGTCATCTCATCCTCCTCTTTTCTCCTTTTACAAATCATCCTGTCTCTTCCCCTCTCTTGTCTGTCTTGGCAAGGATAATGCACACAACTCCGCGCGAGGACGTTTTAGCTTATTTACGTTGCGTCAGGTTTATTGGAACATTATCCGGATATCATATATTCGGACGGTGTGTTATTTATGAGACGATTAATCGACGGGAAATTATAAACTGTCCGGCACGTAATTGATAGACATTTTAATAGAAGAATCGATAAAGAGCGAACATTTATATCCACCGCACAGAGGTTCTCATCAATTCCTTCGTAATATTCGCGATGCCGATCAATCTTTTTGCAAATTCATAAGTCACGACATTCTCTAAATGTTGGGTCTCCATAAATTCCGAATTCTCCTGCGCGATCTCGTAAATTCAGGCTACTGAATTATGCTTCTCTTTCAACATACGGGGTCTCTCTCATGACATATCGTAAAATTTACATCGGATATAAGACCGCGCACGTGGTTGTTCGCACACGGGTTCCCAGGGAGCACTTGAAAATGTAGGAGAGTCTATAATCGCGTTCGCGTATAACGTTTCAAAATTCCAATTTCGGCGACAATGATATCGAGTTTGTCAGATACTCGTCGTGCGTCCACCACGGCGCCATTTCGACGGGCTGTGCAAGCGGTGATGTCACGGAGTGACAAATAGTAAGGGCGGCGGGAGACTCTCTCTCTCTCTCTCTTTCTTTTTTAAAATCGGTTCTTTCGTTCTGTTTGCCGTTGGATTATTCCAACGAGGACATTATGCTCTTCGTCCTTTTTTCTCGCGTCGTGCGAGAACGGTGCTATTTAAAAAGCCGCGATTATTCCGCGTTGCGAGCGAGGATTCTACGAGTCGATCTTTTATTTCCTACGATTTTACTCATTTTTCACGATTTCTCGTTCGATTTACCTTCACTGCATGGCGAGTGCCCGAGAACAATCGTAAAATCCGCGCGAAAATTATTCTCCGCTGACACTTTTTGCCTTGTGCTTTCAGGGATGTCAGCGTGCCGCGCGAGGGAATCAATCAAGAAGAGAAAGGACAGAAATGGAGAGAGAGAGAGAGAGAGAGAGAGAGAGAGAGGGAAGGAGAAAGCGAGAGTTTCCTGATTTCTTCGGATTTCTGCTGTATCACCACGCAACTTCGAGTTCCTTCGCGTTAAAAAAGCTCCCACGACAGAGCGATGACGAGGCTTACGGCCCTGCCTGTAACGACGTCAGCATCGATCAAAGGATTCGCATGTTAGTGGCACACCGACGACGGCGATGAATCTACGCGGGGAATGGCGGGAAAGCAGGTAGGGATATCATCGTTACGTTGTCAGATACAGTGTGTCGATGTGTGTACCTCGGAGAGTCGAAAACAGGGAGCTTCAGGTGCATCTCTTCAAGCCCGTCTAACCGCCGAACATTTTTCCTCCCGTGCTCGTATCCGGGCTCGGGCAAGCTGGAAAGCAATTTTCGCTGATTACAATCTGTCGGTGCATTGTGACGTTGATAGTCGTGCGAGGGAAAGAGTGCATTTTGCATCGAGCGACGAATAACGCGGTCGGGTAATGAGGGTTACCTGCGGCGGCGTTATTCGCGATGTGTGCAAACGTAATTATTATCACACACATAACATATACAGCGCGCTCGTTGTTACGTAATTGTTGTTTCCAGCGTCAGTTAGTTACCGTGCGCGCGTTATCAATTGCTACTCCGCCGCGTGTATATATGAATTCATCGCGTAATTTCCTTATTGTACGAATATAATGGAGGAGCACGGAGATGCTTCGCATACGAACGCTCGATTTGAACACTTACACACACATATACTCGCATACGCGTGTCTCGTTATTACTTACATAACGTTATCACCCGCCATTGTGCTACGGAACTTTTTTTCCTCCGATCGCGCGGAAATTCACTCGCGGAATCTATCCGACCGAACGAATAAAGCGAAGGACGTAATCGAGCGTTCTAACGCGATCTCGTGTTCCTTCGAGCCGAACGCTTCTTTAGGCTCGCCAAAAACTGCTCCACGGAGCGCGGATCGTCGGGGAGTGATTCCCCCGACTCGTGATTCGCGCGATCCGGGCTTCTTGCGAACGGTTAATCGTCCGACCGAACTTTGATCTCCTCGTTGGGGAGCCACGAAGAAAATACGTCCTGGACGCTTCAACTCCCTCGAGCGTGGCGACGTAAAATTTTAACCGTGAGCTTGATCAAATCGTTCTAACTTTCTAAATTTCTTGGCGTGAAATTTCTCGCTCGAAAGTGACAACCGAGTCCACTCGCAATCGAGGGATCTTTCATTCATACAGAACGAATTCTTCCACTCTAAATCGTCGAGTGAATATTTCATTCAAAATTGATAAGTAAGCCTGATGTATAATTTCACCGTCTCGTAAGAACAGACTTATTTTAATTGATTGACGCCTGGTTCTACCACCATGGTTTAAATCTAATTTAACGATTAACTTAACAAAAATGAGCAATTATATTGACGAATTGATCAACGTGGTTGGTCAGTTCCGTCGGATTAATCATGAGTTAGATTTAAACCAAAATGGTAGAACCGGACATTCATTTGTATAGATTATGAGTTTACTCTAAGTTTATGTGAAACGTTCACTCTTGCGACTCCGAGTGACAGTATATTAACGATCGCTTCGAGTGAACCGCCTTCGGTCATTTCGTGCGATCTTACACCCCATAAGAAATTCAGAGGTTAGAAAAGTCTATGATTAAACAAAGCGGCGATGTGCAACGTACATTTTTCACCGAAGATTATTCTTAGGGAAACGATGGAAAAAACATGCATTTTCTTACAAACTCGCGGCCGAGAGGGTACATACCACTTCGGTCGGTTATAAATCTCGTGTGCTTCAGGTAGATTCCAGTGGAAAAAGCCGGTCGCTCACTGACCGCGCTACATGCAACCGCACGCGGTTGTCTGTTTCCGAGCGAACGGGGGAGCGTTTAGTTTGCAGGTGTCGGAACACCGAAAGTAACGAGACTAGAAATTTCGTCCAATTTATTTTAATTCCTGTGCACAAACATATATACAAAGAGAGAGAGAGAAGGTTGAAGGGGAGAGAAAGAAAGAGAGAGGCATGGAACAGACGACGCGCTCGAACTAATTCCGAACTCGCTCGTAACTATTCTCGAGGTTTGACAAATAGGCGCGCCTTTGACAGGCGGGCGAGGAATCTCGAGCCATGAGCTTTAGAATTCAAAATCCGCGTCGAGCTAAGCCCTCCTCCGGAGCGAGTCTTGAATACGTTGGACGCGTCCGAAAACCCTACTCGACGAGCGGAGCAACGTTTAATTGACCAATCGTGATAGAAAAGTCTTTATGCTTTTTAATTGAATTCAATTGAATGTTACACGGAAAAATAGTTTGGTTGAATTTGCCAGACAGTGAACGAATCAAACGCGTTTTGGTTGTAAGAAATCTCTGATTCTTACGGTCGAAATTCGGTGCTTATGCACCCAGAAATTTTGTTCCCCTCAACCAAAACATGTTTAGTTCGTTCATTGTCTGGGTTTCAATTCGGCCAACTTTTCTCCGTGTATTCCACCCGTTGAGAAAAGGCTTCCTGGACGTGCGTTCGCGCGCGAATTAAAGCATTTTTCCGCGCTTGAATCTCGCAGGTTCGCAGACCTCGCCGACGAAGTGCTGCGTCCCACCGAAAGATTATTCCCCGGGTGCTTCTTAATAAAGCTCTTCGCTTAAAGCGAGATCAACAAGTTAGCTTCGTTAACGTCCTCGCGCGCCGTCATACACACGTTTCCCGCTCTACGTGCTCTTTTGTATTTTCCACAATTAAACGTGTCCCGTCCGTCCGTCCTTCCCGCGTTGTCGTCGCCATCGCGCCAGCATTCATGAGCTGTCCGAACGGGAACAGTGCGCCGGCTTTTGTCCCGTGTCGAGCGTTTTGTGCGACGACCCACCACCGCTGTCGAACAACAAGCAGTTGATGCAGTTTCCTGCCGCGCCTTGTATCCACTCGGTCACCCGCACCCTGTCTGCGCCTTGATGGCCCGCGTGCGCAATTAGGCGCGATGACACTAGCGTGTGTTTCGTGGTTTATTAATTAACGACGGCGCGACGGGACACTCGAGAGCGCGGGCGCGAATTTAGCGTTGCTGTTGCTCAAACATCGGCAGCACCGGCGCGAAAACGTCGCCTGTGTTCGGAAAATACAGCGCTTGAATGCGGAAAAAGTAATTTTGCCGGTACAGCAAACTGTTCATTACTATGAGGACAACAAAGAGATTCGTTACAAGGAAAAAATAATTGTGCTGCTGCAGAAAAATCGTTGTGACAGCGATAAAATTTACTTGTGACCAAATTATTTCGCTGTCTATGTACCCAGCAGATAGCAATTAATACTCTTAACAAATCTCTTTGCTGTGCCAGCAAAATTTATTTTTCTCCGTGCACTGTCATGGGAATATTCGTTGAAGTTGTTCGACAATTNGGGGGGGGGGGGGGGGGGGGCAGGATGTCTATTAGTTTGCGTGACGGTTTGTTATGACAAGCAGGAGGGAGTAAAGGAGTTTATTATTCACAATATGGTTATAAGCTATTTTTGTATTTTACAAGTCGGCGGAGGAGAAGGGGGAAATAATTCGTACGTAATATTAGAAGAGGGCAAACACTTGGTGACGAAATTGTGACAAAGAGGAAGGAAGTAAATAATACCCGAATTTCGCGTGACTTAATTGCTGAATGACCCCTTTACATCTGTTACGGATCCGAAAGTATCCTTCAATCGTAGGCTATAATCACCGATCGCTCACTGCGTGCTTTGTCCTGCTGAACACGGCCGTTGTCATTGGATACGCGCGCCAAATTCGATTATCGATTCGCGCACGTTGAGCACATTATCGATGAAGCTGTAATATCATTAACGTAACGGTTTAACGGTCAATATTAACGCGGCGGCTAGAGGATTGATTGTCGGGTGGAGCAAGCGAAAAGTGTAGTAAGAATCCTTTCGGCTCCCGAATATTCTCGGAGTTCTCCGGCGCCTCGGAGAAGTCAACGAAGTTCTCATCGTATTCACTTTTACGTCGTTTCGCGCGAAATATCGCGAGGACAATTGAACGACGAGTTGAACGACGAGATCTCTTGTAAGATATTTCTGATTATACCGCCGTAGTCCTTTCATAAATCTCGTTGTTTGCCAGAGAGACCGCTCGAGACCGAGATTCCCGTCGTCGTCGTCGTTTCGCGTTTAATGCGAGGTTCGTTATTGAAACAGCGGTCGTTCTAATTGGCGAAATTATTAAATCCTCGATCGCTCGGAGCTACAACCAGCTGCTCGTGAATGCAAATACGTCAATGTAGTTTACCGCGGCGCGCGACACCGATGCCAAGGAACGTCCGTGATCGCCAAGACGACAGTGGTAACGGTAGACGGTTCAGTCAGACGGATAGAATATATAGCCCTTGAGGGACAGAGAGAGAGAGAGAGAAAGAGAGAGAGAGAGAGAGAGAGAAAATACGCTTGTGCTGGCGAATTGAAGCGCGAAATTCGAGTATCACTAATAACAAATATGCTGATGGTTTAGACTTGTAAAACAGACGCGGCACCAAAGTTCGAACGAGCTTAATTAAGTGGAACTGCGTTTCCTCCCCTCTTTCTCTCTCACTTTATCCACGCAAAAGGCATTCGTTTCGCGGCTTATTCCGCATTCTTTGGCCGCCGTTATCAAAGGTTCTCGATAATTACAAGTCCCCGCTGCCGGAAAGTTCGTCGACCGCACTGCGGTATTCGCGCGTTATTCTTCGCAAGCTTTGCCCGAATGCGCTCGTACGAACGCAGCACCACGCACAGCGTCGTATTTTATTAACACGACTTCATCGTAATTGCATGAATTCCGTAATGCGTTTGCATGCAGTTCCATTCAATTAAGCTCGCTATTCGAATATCGCGGGATTCTCGCAGTTTGGGTGGTATTAGAGTTTCTCTCTCTCGAAACTAATACAGTGTGTGTATGCGCGAATTTCACGGTATACTTGATCGTTCTCTCGTATCCGCGAAATAACCAATACCCACGAGACACAATCGCCCGCACTGCAGGCATATATTTAAAGTTCATGTTAATAGTTGTTATTGGAAACTCGCCTCACGTCGAAATAATCAGGTTTGAATTTTGGGTACGATGTTACATATATAATTCAACTGAAAATCCAGATCCAACTCTTAATTTAAATCCGAATATCCCACATGAGGTAAGCTTCGAGTAAGCATTATTCATGCGGGCTTAAATCCCAATCTGAATATCTCACTTGAAAAAAAGTTCCAAGTAACGACCATTGATATAGATCTAAGAGATGACTCGACGGCGTGTATTTTTCTACCTCTCTCTCTCTCTCTCTCTCTTTTCCAATGATGTAATCCACCGGTGTTGTCCCCTTTATTCGTAATTATCCGCGAGTTCGACGTTATC